TTCTGTAGAAATCCTCTGGCTACCAACCTTGCTTTATGTTTGCCAATTGAGCCATCTGGCTTTAACTTCTGCTTGAAAACCCATCTGACGCTGATGGCTTTCTTGTCTTTTGGAAGTTCTGTCAGCTTCCAAGTCTTGTTTCTCTCTATAGCATCAAGTTCTTCTTTCATGGCCTTTAGCCAGAGCTTCTGCTTAAGAGCCTCCTCTGTACTTATAGGTTCAGAGTCTACTAACATGGCACACTGAATAACTTCTCCTTCAGAGTCTACTTCAGTGTCTTGCAGCATGTCAAATTCTGCAAATCTTCTGGGAACGCTTCTGATTCTTTGTGGTCTCTGAACTTGTTCAGAGTCTTGAGCTTCAGAGTTTCTAGCTTCAGATGATTGACCTCCAGAGCTTTGACCATCTTCAGAGTCTGGCATATTTCCAGAGTCTGAATTGCCACCAAGATCTGGATTGCCATCAGAGTCTGAATCATTAGAGTCTGGGTCATCTGGGTCACCTTCATCTTCTGAGTCTTCTTCAGAGTTTGAATCAGTATCAGAGTCAGAGTCAATATCAGGGTTTACTTCAACTTCAGAAATTCTTAACTCTGACCTTTCTTCAGAGGTTCTAACATCAGAATCAGATTGAGACTTATCCCAATTCCAAACTTCTGATTCCTTCACAATCACATCTCTGCTGAATTCAATTTTATTGGTTTCTGGACAATAGAGCTTGTATGCACCTGTACTGTGGTACCCTATCAGAATCATCACTTTGCTTCTATCATCCAGCTTCTGTCTTCTGGCTTCTGGAACATGTTTATAGCAAACAGAACCAAACACCTTCAGATGACTAACACTTTGCTTGTCTCCAGTCCACTTCTGCATAGGAACTATTTCCTTCAACTTCTTCGTAGGACATCTGTTGAGTACATACGTTGCAGTGGCAACAGCTTATCCCCAGAGCTTCTGAGGAAGCTTCTTCTCCTTTAGCATGCTTCTCACCATATCAAGCAAAGTACGGTTTCTTCTTTCAGCAAGACCATTGTGTTGAGGGGTATAAGGAGCAGTAACCTCATGCTCAATTCCATTCTCCTCACAGAACTTCTGGAACTCTTTGGAGTTATACTCACCTCCACCATCAGTTCTAAGAATCTTCAACTTCTGACCACTCTGATTCTCAGCCTTCATTCTGAACTTCTTGAATTCATCAAACACCTCGTGTTTAAACTTAATAAGGGATACCCATGTCATTCTTGTGAATTCATCAACAAATAACACAAAGTATTTATTCCCTCCAATTGATGCTACTGGAAATGGACCACACACATCAGAATGTACAACTCCCAAGGCATGTTTTGCTCTTGGAGCAACTTCTGATGCAAATGGCAATCTTGGTTGTTTTCCTTCCATGCAAACTTTGCATGACTTTTCAGGCTTCTTAATTGCAGGAATTCCATGTACCAATTTCTTTGAATTCAGATGTTGTAAGCTTCTGAAATTCAAATGACCAAATCTTCTGTGCCACAACTCACTCTCCTTCTCAGTACTTGTTGCACTAAGACACTCTGAGTCTGCAGTTCTGACATTCACCTTGAATGTTCTATTCCTTCCCTGTTCTGACTCCATAATCAACTTCTGATTACAGTCATACAGCTTCAGAAGATTGTCCTTCATGGTAACTGAGAAATCTTTCTCAATTAATTGTCCCACACTCATCAGGTTGCTTCTGATGCCAGGTACATACCACACATTCTGAATCAATGCTATTTTCCCATTGTTCAGAGTCACTCTGACATTTCCCATACCTTCTGCATTAAGATATTTGTCATCAGCACATCTGATCTTTGTTCTCTTTTCAGAGTCAAAGTCAATCAGCCATTTCTTGTTTCCAGTAAGATGATTTGAACAGCCAGTGTCCATATACCACCAGTCTGTCAGATCATCAGATTCAGAGGCCATCAATAGCACAGATTCGTCATCAGAACTTCTGGCTATATTTGCTTCTTCTGATTTCTTCTCCTTGTTTGACCAACAATCTCTAGCAAAGTGACCAAACTTCTTACAACAGTAACATTGGATCTTCTTCTTGTCATACTTCTCTTTTCCCTTCTGAGCATTCTTTTGTCTATCAGAGGTTGAGCTTTCTGACTTCTGACCACCATCAGATCTTCTCTTGGCTTCTGACTGCTTCTGATACCTCCTATCAGAAGTTGCTTTCAGAGCCTGCTGCTCTACTTCCCTTTCAGAAGTTCTCTCAGTCAAACGCAACTCTTGCGCTTCTAGACTGCTCTGCAGCTCTTCAATTCTCATGGTGCTCAGATCTTTGGAATGTTCTATTGCTACCACAATGTAATCAAATTGAGGAGTAAGGGATCTCAATACCTTCTCCATGATTGTTTCTTCAGAAAGAGTTTCTCCACACGCCTTCATCTCATTAGTGATCAGAATCACTCTGGAGATGTATTCAGAAACTTTCTCATTATTCTTCATGTTGAGATTCTCATATTGCTTTCTCAAGGACTGAAGCTTCACCTTCTTCACTGATGCGTCACCACCATAACATCTCACCAGAGTGTCCCATGCAGCCTTTGCTGTTGTAGAGTCTGCAATCTTCTCAAACACGTTTACATCCACACATTGATGAATGAAGAACAATGCTTTCTGATCCTTCTTCCTTACTTCCTTCTGCGCGTTTTTCTGTTCATCGGTTGCATCTGCTGCTACTGGAACATAACCATCAGTGACAAGATCTAGAACATCTTGAGCACCAAATAGTACACGCATTTGGATCATCCAACGATTCCAGTTTTTACCATCAAATACTGGAAGTTTGGTGTTCATGTTGCCGTTTCCGTTCATCTTCTACTTTGCACAATACACTCAGATTTCTCACACAGTGTTTCCCAACCCACAGAATAAAATTCTGATCAGATTTTGTTCAAGATTCAACACGAATCTAAGAATCAAAATCAAACACACAAGACCTCACGTTCACTCGTGTTTCTCGTGTTTCCCAATGAATCTGAACCGGAGCTCTGTTACCAATTGTTGGTGCAAAGGTAGAATAAATGATGAAAATAGGGAAATATTCTATTTAAGAATGACGGCAGGAGAAACAGGATTTAGAGTTACAATGATTGTCACCCTATTTATAAGCTAAAACTAGGGTTACTAGAATAAGATAAAATACTAAAATACCCTCTAACAAACTTATGGGCTTAAGAAAGTAATATAATAAAATATGAATTATTACTAATATTCAGCAGGGTGAGTTTGGTCAGCTAAGAACAAAGAGAATTGGATGTCATACTGAATGTTATGACGTTGAGCGAGTGAATTTGAAGTGAGACATTGCTCGAGTGAAGCACAGTTGGCCGACATTTTCACCAAAGTATTAAGATCGATAAATTCCTCTTTTTAAAAAAGAAATTAGGAATAATTCGGATCGATTATGATTATTTTATGTTTAGCGACTTGGATTATAAAGGTATATGTTGTGATATAATCCAAATTCAAGTCCAAATTAGTTATTTGGGTTGGAAGTTAGTTACTTTTATATATATATATATATATATATATATATATATATATATATATATATATATATATATATATATATAAAAACATAGAAACAACTTTTAAATACACTTACTTTTTCTTTCTCTCAATCTCTCTCTCTCTTTCCTTCCCCGCCCAAAATGCTTCTACACTAACAAGATTAAGGTATGCACTTTAATTTCTCAAAACTTTTGTTGGCTGAGATTTTGACACTCATTAATGTTGGAAGAAAGTTGAGAGGTTTTCAAGATCATATTTTGAAGAAGAACATGATGAATTCGACAGCAAGTGGTAATAATGATGTTCTGACGGCAATAAAGAGTTGAAATGGACTGTTGAAGTTTGAGGACTTATTTTGAGGAGCAATGTACGTTTCGACAGGAAAATTATGAAGATCTAGTCGAATGAGTCTATGCATAGAAGGCGTTGTGGTCTAGGACTTAGAAAGATTTTTGCATAAAATTGGAATTCGACTAAGTCCATTGGAGGAAGTGTTCGACGGATGAACTTCAAATAAGGCTGGTAAACCACCTTTTGGCCATATATGTTTTCTAGGACATGTGGAAGACTTTTAGGTGACGAAGTGCATGTAGTGGAGAACGTGACACATTTTGGCGAAATAACCGTTAGATGACGCTTATTTTTTATTTAGTATAAATAGGACATTTTGCATTCATAATTAGGGCATTCAAAAATTGTACAAAACTCTACATTACACTCTCAGTGTTTGTGCGAGAAAAGAGTGCTTTTGAAAGAATGTATGTTTGAATACCTTCTTTTTACAATTAAAACCATTTAAATTTCAGTCATTACCTTTACTTGCAATTTTCTTCCTTGTTATTTATCTTTCGATTTATCTTTTTGCAATTTACACTCTTTTTCTCACTTGAAGGAAATCATAACGTTGAAACGTAATAACTTTTGAGAATACTTGAAGAATATTGTATTAATGTTCATAACCATTAAGATCAAGAACTAAATTAACAACACATGTCCTAGAATCAATTTAGTCGATCCTGTAAGTGATCAAAGACTTAACAACTTTGAAGGACTAGTGGTTGTTTTCCATTTTCAACTGTAAACACCTCTCAATCTCAATTAATCAAAAATTTAATCTTTCAGTTATATATATATATATATATATAAGTGTCGGACACCGATAGTAGTAAAATTATTTAATTTGTTAAGTTTAAAAAAAAATTCTTACAGCCATAATCTTAGATTACTTTTACTGATATATTTATGCTAATTGTTGATATTTGATTCAACATGTCTTTTATTTTATGAATAACATTATTAGCTTACTTAAATAAAGATATCTTATTACATTATAAGAATAATGCAGTTGCATTTCCAATAACAAATATAAGTGCCAAAGTGAATTACTAATACATTTCTTGAATTTCCACTACCAATATATTCCATTCTCTTGTTTATTTCTTGAGCATCATATCATCACTTGAAAATCACTGATATTGGAATCCTAACGGCATGTTTATCAGAAACCCATGTAAGAGAACCCTGAGCAAAGGTATGATTCCTTCTATTTTCCTTAATCTCAGGTATAAAATCCACTGAAAAACTAACCTTCTCATTGATCTCGGTAAATGTTATTTCACTTGGATTCACACTCATACCCAAAGCCAAAGGCACTTCAAGTTCTGCTCTATAGGTTGAATTTGCAAACCCAACATTAGTCAAAGTTCTTGTGTAAAACTGTGAATCAGAACCTAAAAGAATAGAAAAAGAAGGATAATTCAGTTCTGCTTCTGCTATACTTTTCACATCAGAACACTTCACTTTCCGCTGGACAATAATTTCAATCTCTCTATCAGAATAACCCAAACCACACAAGTAAGGAACATAATCTTCTGGTTGAATATCATAAACAAGTCCAGGATCATTTGCTTTAACAGGATTAACATGTCCTGCACCAGTAGCAAAAACATCAGCAGGTAAAAGTCTTTGATCAGTTATAGGTGAACCGCCGAGGTTGAGTGTATTAGCAGTTGTCATGATTGCTGATTTTATAGCGGCCGGCGACCATTCAGGATGAGAGCTTTTGATCAATGCGGCAATGCCACTGAGATGAGGACAAGACATTGAAGTGCCAGAAACAATGCTATAAGGTGGGAGTTTGTTGTCTAGAGAAAGAGCCCATGCAGCAAGGATGTTGACACCGGGTCCAATGATGTCTGGTTTTAAGATTCCTGGACTTTCTTGACTTGGTCCTCTTGAAGAAAATGAAACAACAGAAGGAGCATTTGAATCACCAATTATTGTTCCTTTGAATGATACTGTTGCGGTTGGATTGTAGGTTTTGTTTATGTAATCTTTGATTATCAAACTAGCTACATAACTCACTTCAACTGCAGGTAAAACGTGAGGAATAGCGAAAGTGCTGAACCCAATGGCTTCTGAGTTTGCAAGGATCATGGCAACACCACCTGCATTTAGAACTTCTTGTCCTTTTACAATACTTGTAACACCACCTCCTACATCACATAATACTACTTTTCCTCTTAGATCAATGTTCTTTAAGAAACCTGGTAAACAAAATGACTGATTCTGACTTGAGTTTCCATATCCATATGAACCTGCATAGAAAAGTGGCAATAGCTGTGGAGAGAAGTCCTTAGGTTGGTACAATGTTTCACCTTCAAATTCTTCACCATTTCCTAGCTTTGCGGATGCTGCTATTTTTCTGTCAATTGTACTTGCACCTACTGTGAGGATCCAAGGAGCTTCATTTGAGAGAGTGCTGTAGCCAGGGCCAGCGTTTGCTGCGGAACAACTAACGAAAACTCCTTTTTGAATAGCAGCAAAAGCACCAATTGCAATTGGGTCTTCAAAGAATGAAAGAGAACCTAAACCAAGCGAAAGTGAAAGAACATCTACACCATCTTCGATAGCTACATCCATTGCAGCTAAGATAGCACTTTCAGGGCATCCAACTTTGTCATTACAAACTTTGTACATTGCTATGTGAGCATTAGGTGCCATACCAGCTGCTACACCTTTAGCATTACCAAAACAACTTGCATCTTCTACGAACCTTCCTGCAGCTTCTGCAGCAGTGTGTGTTCCGTGGAAAAAATTCTCAAACGGAGACTCTTGAATTGCACCTTTGACTAAGTTTCTTGCACCAATGAGCTTATTGTTGCAAACTGTTCCACCAGTGAATTCACAGTGACCTTTCCATTTTGCAGGTGGTGGTGGCATTCCTTCGTCGTTGAATGATGGGTGAAAAGGGTATATTCCCGTGTCTATGACTCCAATTATGACTCCTTTTCCGAGGTTATCATCGCTCCATAAGCCTTGTCCTTGTTTCAATCCCAAGAAAGTTGGAGTATGAGTTGTGTGTAATGAAAGTGTCCTTTCAGGTCTAGCCGACACAATTTCGCCCTTCACTTGAAGATCTTTGGCTTCTTCGGGTGTCAACTTGACCGCGAATCCAGAGGCTACGTTGCTGTAAGTGAAAACCATTCTGTCTTTGTGAGCAAAAGTTTCTGGAAGGAATGAATGGTACCAGGTATGCAAATCTTCTGATTGAAATGAAGCAACATTTTCTGATTTTTTTACATGAACAATGTATGTCATTAAGTCCTGATTCTCCTCTACCGCAAATATTGACGTAATTTGGTTGATGCTGCAGAGAATGAAAATGAGAGTAACAAACAATGTAAGTTGCATGGTGTAGTTTGTTTTTCCCATGATATAGAATTTGATATAAAAAGTTGCTTGTGATTTCCTAGTGTCATGCATGTGTATATATAGATAAATATAATGCATAGAAAACAAAATGGCCAAATTGGCTCCATTGTTTTATTTTACTTGCAACATAGGAAACAAGGACATGCATTGTGCTGGCTTAGGACGGCTAAGTCTGAGTGGTAAAAGATTGTTGAGGTAATTTGAATTAAGGAACTCTCATAGTAATGCCCGCTATTTATTTGGTGTTAATTTGTATGGACTTAAGTGGTAGATTGGATTTGGAACAGCTATTTTTCTGGACATATTTCTCCAACATTGCCATATGTTGTTTTTGGCTTAGAAAAGTTATCGACAAAAAGACAAGTTTTATATTGTATTAGAGAAGTTCTGCATAATATTTGTTGAACTTACTTTGATTAATGAAATGAGTTAAATTTGTTGAAATTAATCTTAGCCTTACCTATTAAAGTAGTTGCAAAAATATTGTGGGCAAAATAATAAATGAAATACAATGATAATTCTCGGTACAAGTCGAGTACAATTTAAAGTTCTAACACTAAAGTCGAAAGAGCCTATATGAATAACATTTCATATGTTAGTATAGTAGGTTCTTTGGTGTATGTTATGGTATGTACGAGGCTAGACATAGCGTACAGAGTGAGCCTTGTAAGTAGGTACATTGCCATCTTAAAAAGGCGCATTGGCAAACATTGAAATGGATTCTAAAATACATAAATGGGTTTATGAGGAGAGTCCTGATTTATGGTGGAGTCTATAGTGATGATAGTAAAGTCGAAATGAAGGATTTGTCGACTCTGATTATGCAGGTTGTATGGATTCCAGAAAATCTATTTCTACACATGTGTTCAGTATGTTTGGCACAACTATCAGTTGGAAGAAACACTTCAGAAGATTGTTGTCTTATCAACCACTGAAGCGGAATATATTTCTTTCACCGAAGCAGTGAAAGAAGCATATGGCTTAAAAGTTTTGCTAAGGAGCTTAAACTTTAAGGTTGAGTTATCACTGATAAATGTGATAGTCAAAATACATTACATTTATCGAAAAATTCAGTCTATCATGAGCAAACCAAGTACATTGATGTAAGGTTGCACTTCGTTAGAGAGATAATCAAGCGTGGAGAAGTCCAAGTGCTGGAGATTTTGAATGATGACAATGTTGTTGATATGATCACCAAGACATTGTCAAGTAGCAAGTTTTTCCACTATATGTAGTTGATAAAAGTGCATGATAAAAGCTATTTTGTTTCCTTGTTACTGTAGAGTTTGTTCCAAGGTGGAGATTTATGGTATTTTGGATCGAACTCTATTCTCGACGGGAATAGCTCCATGGTTCGACAAAGGTTTAACATGTAGTCAAAGTCTGTTCACATGTTGATTTATATGTTGTAGTCGAAGTATGCTAAACCATGTAGTAGTTAAAATGATAAGATTGTTAGCATGTCGAATTGGACCTTACTTGTAACTTGTAAGACCAATTTTTAAGTTAGCTTGTAGTTATTGGAATTAACACAAAACCTTGATTAATTCTGAACCAATTTTGATGAACAAGATTCAACCAATCAAAATCCCTTGTTCTTCACTCTTCACTTGATTGAATCAATCACACCTTGATTGCAAGAATGATTTTGCGTAGCAATTGTTAGTGGAAGAAGAAGAAGAAAGAAAATTGAATAAGAAAGAAGATTAGGGTTTGACAAAAATTGGAGAAGAAGACGATGATTTCTGCAAAGTAAGTCTCTGCTCTCAAACTGAGAAAATATTATTCAACTGTTTTATAACTCATAATAGGGTTACTCCATATTTATAAGGGAGCTAGCTTGCTCCCTAAGCTAAAGCCCAAAAACACAAAAGCCAAAATAAATTTATTTTTGATCTAAGTCTAAATCCTATGTCAAGCAACCTGCTTCAACACTTCGACATCTAACACAACTCGACACACACACACACACACACACATATTAGGCTAATTTCGAAACATCCTTGTTTCTATCGAGCTACACCTGCTTCGATATAAGGAATTACATTCTCAATAATAGCCTAAGTTAGCTTAGTAGTCTATAAATAGACTAGTTATCTCATATTGTTAAGGGAGGTTAATTGTTGTTATTCACTTGTAATCATTGAACCCTTATTGAATAAGTGAATAGTAAAACAGTTTTAACCAATTTCAGTTCTTCTTCTTCCTTTTTCTCTCTCTTTCATAAACCTAATAAGGTTTCTTGTGTTTGCTCAATAAACTCAATCTTTCTCATATTTTAATTTTTTCTTGACGACATCGATTCACAGCAAACTAGTGCAGTGAGGCTGGAGGAGAAGATATCGTCAACAAAGTATGACATTGAGAAATTCATCGGTGTGAATGATTTTGATTTGTAGCTCCTGAAGATGCAAGCTCTACTAGTTCAAAAGGGTTTGTTAGGAGCATTAAAAGGATCAGAGAAGATGGATGACGCCCTAACAGATAAGGAGAAGACGGTGATGATCAAGAAATTCCATAGTGCCATCATATTAAGCCTTGGTGATAAGATTCTCCGACAGGTCTCAAAGAAGAAAACATTAGTGGGTGTGTGAAGCAAACTCGAGGGTTTATATACGATCAAATCTTTGGTAAATCACCTCTATATGAAACAAGTTTTGTATTCATTCAAGATTAGTAAAGACAAAGTCTTGGCTGAGCAGCTATATATGTTCAACAAGTTGATTCTTGATCTTGAAAATATCAAGGGCAAGATTGATGATGAAGATCAAGCATTGATGTTACTGTGTGCGCTTTGCCTAAGTCTCATACTAATTTTAAAGAAACTCTTTTGTATGGAATATATTCATTGACCTTTGAAAAAGTTCAACCAACCTTGTACTCTAAGGACCTGAGTGAAAGAAAGAAGCATTAACCATCTTCTTTTGGTGAAAAATTTTCCGTCAAAGAAAAATTCTTGAAGAAAGATGATAGATTTAAGAAGAAGAAGGGTAAGATTCTACAGAATTCTTATGGTGGTAATACTTATGTAGTTAGGTGTTATCATTTTAAGAAGGGTCACACAAGAAAGATGTGTCCTAAATGTATGAATAATCGTGCTATAAAGGATAATGTAATGCAAAATCTGATGCAGTGACAAGGTCGAAAAACTGGAAATTTGTGAACCTTGTGTATTTGATAAATCCTATAGGGTGAAGTTTAACAAAGATAAACAAATAACTCATGGATCCTTTGATTATATCCATGATAATCTTTGGGGACCTGCAAGGAATCCATCACACTTAGGTGCAAATTATTTTCTAGCCATAGTTAATGATTATTCCAGAAAGTTATGGATATTCATCCAGAAGACTAAGGATGAAGCTTTTGAAATTTGCAAAAGTTGAAAGACTCTGGACGAAAACCAAAGTGGCAGAAAGGTCAAGAGGTTGAGAACTGATAATGGTCTTGAATTTTACAATCAGGCTTTTAAAAAATTCATTATAATCCACTCTAAACTCTTTCTTGTAGCCTTTAGCAACTAACCTTGATTTATAATTATCAACTTCTCAATCTTCTTTCAATTTTATTTTGTAAACTCACTTCACACCAATTATTTTGCGCCCCTATGAAAGATCAACCAACTCTCATGTGTCATTTTTTCAATTGAAGCAATTTCTTCATCGTTGCTTTTTTCCACTTTGGTACTTTAACAACTTCTTCAAAAGTTGTAGGATCACAATTTAAGAACAAAATAAAGTATGTAAAAGGGTTTTCTGATTTGTGTATGCCTTGTACCTCATAACCAACCATCTATCTCGACTTTTTTCTAGCACGCTGAGAGTGCACTTCTGCAATTGGTGTTGTCAGTGATCCACTATTTTTCTTACTGCTATCAACAATAGTACATTCTTTAGTTTACAGCTGCAAATTTGAGCTTGTTGGTTGTTGCAATTGTTGTTCACTTTCATGTATTTCATCAAAATCAACATATATAAAGCTTGTAAGCCTTTGACTGATTTCTAACACTAAGAAAATGCATTTCACTCATTTGTCTTTGATTTTTGTTCTTCTCTGATCTAAAACATGAGCATATGCAACACACCCAAAAATTCTGAAGTGATTGACGACTAGTTTCTTTCCACTACATGCCTCTTCAGAAGTCATATTTTGAGTAGAAAAGTCTGGGCTTCTTTTCAAAATGTGTATGCTCCAGTTCACTGCTTCGGGCCAAAAATATTTAGAGATGCCACTTCTGTTTAGCAAACTTCAGCCATGTTCATAATAGTGCAATTTTTCCGCTTGCAAACACCATTTTGTTAAGTTGAATATGTTGTCGTAAGCTGCCTCTGAATTCCATGATTCTCACAAAAAATTTTGAATTCATGTGAGGTATACTCTGCACCACGTTATTTATGTTAAACTGTAATCATGCAGCCATTTTCCTTTCCACCAGACACTTTAAATGTCTTGAAAAAATTAAATGCTTCCGACTTTTCTTTCAAAAAATACACTCGTCTCTTCCTATTGTAATCGTTAATGAAGATAATGAAGTGTCATTTACCATCATTCAAGATTAGATTTAGTGGGCCACAAATGTCCAAATGAACCACCTCTAGCACTTTCTTGGCTCTAATGGATTTTCCATATCGAAAAGAGTCTCGGTGTTGCTTGCTAACAACACAATCTTCACAAATCGGAGTTAGAGGTGTGATTTCCGGAAGACCTGTCACCATATTTTATGTTGCGGCATTTTCAAACCTCTCAAACTTAGATGATCATATAGAAAAAGCTATAACCATGTTGAGTCTTGAATCTTTGCTGAGAAATAAAAACCAATGGATATGTGCATATTCAACGAAAACAACTGATTATCTATCATTTTAACTTGAGCAATCAACCCCAATTTTTCATGTTGAACCCGAAAACCACCATTCTTGATTAGAATCTCGTACCTTTTTTCTTGAAGTTGTCATAGGCTGATCAAGTTGGGCTTTAAT